GATTGTTGGTACCGGGAGAGACTCCCTTCTGGGCCATCCAACCCCACTCCCATTAGCCCTTGGTGGGAAGGGGTTCTCCAGTTAAAGTACCTCCCACCCCCCTTTGGGCCTACCCCAGAGAAGGGTGGGGCTCCAGCCCCCTGCAGCTCCTTTTCCTTTGGGTGGAGAAGTGGGACTGGGAAGGAAAGGAGGAGGGGGGAGGACCCAATCCCAGCCTTTTCAAATGCAACCGGAGACCAAAGGCAATTAGACCATTGGGACCATTTCCTCTTGCTCTACCCCGGGGGAAGGTGTCTTCCCCGCTCAGTTGAAGCATTCCCACAAAACACTGGGGGGTTGGGGTGCTCTTTGAATCCCCCATTCCCATGACGCCCCCACCCCCACTCCCACGGCACAGCTGTCACCCTCAGACCCACCAATGCCTGAACACAGTAAGAGACCCCTGCCAGGGCACAGATAGGAAAAAAGAGTTGTTCAGGTGTGTTCCCCCACCCCCCAGCCATCCTGCCCTGGGGGGGAAGGAGTGACTGCCTCCTGGCCTGAGCTGAAGTGAAGGGTGGGCACAGCGGGAGGCCCGAAGAGCGGAGGGGAGCGGTGGCTACCTTTGCTGTGCTGGTACTCGGCGTTCCCAGTGGCGCAGTCCGGGGTGCAGCTCACCTCGATTTCTTCATAGAAATCCGACTCGGTGTCTGAGCTACTGGGTTGCCCCTGACCAGAGAGACTGTCGGTGGAGGAGACCGGGGGTCCCGGGCCAAGCATGGCCGCTCCGGCTGCCCGTGGCTCGGCGCCCAGCCCCGCAGCGCTGCCCGCTAGTCCATCGACCGGCTCCTCCTCCGAGCCTCCCCCGCCGCGCTCCCGGGCGGCCGGAGGGCCAGCTCGAGGGCTCAGACAACCATGGGGCACCATCTTCTCTGGCGGCTCGGACAGCGGGCTGCCCACGGCTTCGGACAAATTGGAGACCCTCTTGCCAACTAGAGTGCCAAGTTGACCCCCGTCCAGAAACATGACCACGTCCTTTCGGCTCTCCATCCCTGGGGTTCTCCGGAGGGGGTAGGGGGAGCCCCAAGTGAGCTCCTAACCCCAGGCTCCCTGGGACCCCAGCGTCCGGATAGTTCTTGGCTGCAAAAGGGAGCAAGAGAGGCCAGGCGACTGGGCGGGCGCGGAGCAGACGGAGCGCGATGTCGACGGCGACGGCGGAGGTGGCGGTGGCGGTGGGAAGCTAGGGTCACCTTGTGATGCGAGCGCTCCTCTGTGCCGCACCGCCTCTGGGAGGAAGCCCCATTGCCCTCTTCTTTCTAAGCTGTCATCCTCCTGCTGCAATCGTCATTACAGTACCGCTGGTGACGCCACTCGGCAAGCGCAAGTGGATAAATAGAAACGTCTGCCACAGCGAAGATGAAAGGAGACCCGCAGCTAATGGCTCGGCAGTGATGCGCCAGGTGTGGGCCTCGCTCGAATGGGGAGGAGAGTGTGAAAACAGACAGAGAGACACACACACTGAGAAAGGGAGACACCCAGGCAGAGGGGATGCAAATGGAATTCCGCAGAAAGAAAAGAGAGAGCTTAAGGCTCGCAGCCAGTTCCGCAGAGGCAGCGGGGACTCGGTAATTGAATTCGCTTTTGATTTTTTCTTTTATCGTTGTTTTTATTTTGTTTTCTTGGTGCCTTGATTTAACACCGATGAAAGAATCCATAACTGCATTTTGGAATTGTGCAGGCCAGCTTACAAGCCTCGGTTCTCTCTGCATTATTACAACTGCCTGCCAGTCCCTGGTAGCTAATCTCTCTAAAGTCTTTTTTTTTTTTTTTTTTTAACAAGCTACCGACAAAAAGTATCCCTCCCGCCCCCATGTTGTCTACAGAGCTTGAGCCTGGGGTGTCTTTCCTTCTCTCTTCTTCTCCCTACCCTATCTGTCTCTCTCCTCCCAGGAACCAAACTTCTCTACTTTTCTTCCCAAGAGAAAAAAGATCATTTTTTTCTTTAAAGACCCGCCTTGGCTACTGATTCAACTTATTCTATGATTTCTTTTTTTGTAAAATTTCCCTCTCCATTTAGATGGCCTTAAGCTTTCCACTGCCTGACTTGACTTCGAGGTGGCTATCAGAAGAAAACACTTTCCGTTTGATCGGGCCTGGTGAGCACTTCAGGTATGTCGGGAAGGAGAGAGATTCTGATAGTGGTCTTGCTTTCTTTTCTTGACCATATTTTAAAAGTATTCGTTTAGAGTCAACGAATTCTCCTACAACCAGGTTTTTCCAATGAAGAGGCACTGGCAAACGGGGCCCCTACTGTGGCAGCAGTGCTGGAGCGCCCCAGCTGGGTGCTAGCCTTCACGGGGGGGGGGGGGGGGGGGAGGATTTAGGGCAGGAGTTGACATTACCCAGTGCCTGGCACTGGGGTCAGCAGAGGATGGACTCACAGAGTCCCCTGCCAGGCCCTGCCCGGGGTCAGTTGTTTGTGGCTCCAAAAGCTGGGGGTAGAAGAGAAGCCGTTGAAAATGCCCCGAAAGAGCTAGTGACCATGGGCGCTGATAAATCTTTGGGAATGGAAGGCGAATTCCCTTCATAGGCTGGAGGAGATGGGGGTGAGGTTGTGGAATTGATATTTGGGGGAGGCTGCAAGCTTTTTAGAAAAGTGGAAAGAATTCCTGTGCGGGGCTGGCAGGTGGGCTGGGTCTCTGTTTGCTTTGCTGAGGGTTGGAGGTGGGCACCTTCTGGGCTCACATCCTCTTCCTCTGCCCCCTCCCCAAGAGCTTGTAACCCTAAACAGTCAGCCCACACTAGCCAGAAAGGAAGGAACCTTCCTCCTCCACCTCCCACGGCAAAGCCCCAACTTCTAAAGCAAACTGTCTCTGCCACTACCTTTTTGTCTCCTTCCTATCTCTTACGTTTCCATGCCACCCTTCCCCAATCTTCTCCTTGGGGTTATGGAAGTGCTGGAGGGAGGAAAGACAAAAGTTCTCTTCCACTTCTCTTCCAAAGATGTTCATTGACCTTGCCTGGAGGACAGGGGCAGATGCACCTGGATGGTAGTGGCCACATAGATATCTGTACTCCCTGGGAGTCCCAAGCCACCATCTGCTGAGCACTGCTCACACAGAAATCTGGGGAAATATTTCAGACGTCAGATACCAGCAACTGAGAGTGCTGGGGGGAACAAATGCCCTGACCTTTTGTTGCCATGTTAGTCACCCATGGATTCAGCCATGCCTTGTCCTTTCTCATTAGCAGCCAGAGCCTAACGGAACACCTTACTTGCTCTTTTTTCTATCAGTCAAGACCCCTGAGTACTTAGCAGTGTCTCTCTGTTGCCCACTCTCTGTTGGGCCCTTCAACCACCAGAGTGGCATCCACTTTCCCTCCCCCATGAGGATGGCACCTTTCACAGCCACCTCACTGCCCCCACTCTTTAGGGTTGGTCCTTAAAGGAACTCCTGGCTCCCCTGCCCCACCCCCAGCTTTGCATTCAATGGGAATGTTCTGTGTTTGATCCTCTTCTCCTCTGAGTTTTCTCTGGAGATGAAAGCAGAGTAGGATTGTGAGATCAAGGGGTGCCACTTAGTCTCCTTCCTGGGTTGACCTGATGGAGCTGGGCTTCCCCTTGCATCCCCAGGAGGGGGCTAAGTGGGGACTCAGCCTCTCAGAAGGAGGCTGCCTGCTAAAAGCTCCAGATCTGATATCTCTTCTCTGTCTGACCCCCACTCTATGCCTCTCCAGACTTCTGCCCACCCTTTCAAAGCAGCCTGCCCTTTTTCACTTTTTAGGAGTCTATTAAACACCCCCCAAACACAGACACACACACTTAAAGAATAAAAATTGTCACTTATTCTAAAATCAGCCTTTCACCAACAGCAGATAAAAAGAGGTCGATTTTTAATGGAAAGAAGATGAAAAGAGGAGGGTACCGGATAAACACACTGTTGTAACTTTTGGTGTGTGTTTGTGTGGAGTATATTTAAATAGCGTTATCGTTGTATCATGAAGCTTATTCACTGCAAGGTGCAAGAAGGAAGGTAAATCGGGAGAATGGGTAAAGCCAAAGTAATCCTACAAAAGCCAAAGTGGTTGAGACAGCAGCCTGAAGTGGGATCTGGCTGCCCCTGGCGCATCTCACTTCCCCCTGTTCTGAGGACCTGCAGTTCCTTCCCCCGCTGGGGCGACCAGCTCCAATCCCGCCGGCTCCTCTCGGATTGAAATTCTCTGTCTGGATTTCAAAAACTCCGGGGGCTGCGCTTCCGGCGTGGCTAGGCTGGGCAGGACAGGGCAGGGCTGGGCAGGGGGTGGATGGGAATCCCCGGGAGGCGACGTGGAGATAAGATGCGCGGGTCGATCGGAAGCCCAGCCTGGGCCACCAGAAGTGCTGATCGGCTGAACCAGCTTGCTCCCCCAAAAAAACCCTCGCTCAGGAGAGCAGCGGCAGGGATTGGGTGCTGTGACCCTCTGGGGGCCATCGTCTGCTGCCTGGAGCACCTTCCCACTCTGGAACGGAGCCTCCCAGCGGCAAGCAAGCGCCCTCGCCAGAAAGAAGGGGTGCGAAGTCTGGAGCCAGGGACCAGGAACTGGATTGGCTGCTTCAGTGTCAGCAACAATTTGATCAGGGGGGGGAAATGGTTTTGCTTCTATCTTGGTAAAACGTAAAGACAAAGGGAGCTTCCTTTAAAACAATAAGGATCCCTCTGCTGTCCTGGAAATTGTTCTCTACAGGTGACCTACCAAGCTGTGGTGAAAGGTCGGTGCTAGCGTTTGACCCTCACTTATCCCCACTTCCTCCATGGCAGCTGCCCAGGTTCCTCTGGGAACTCAGTGCCACTGCAGGGTGCACCCCTTCGGGATATCTCTTAGGGACACCTGTGTGAGAACAAGACCTACTTGACCTCAGACTCCAGGAGGTCAGGCTTCCAAGGGCAAGGAGCTGGACTGCTCCTCCACCCTACAGTGAGCAGTGAGTCTGCTGAACTGGGGTGGTGGCAGTGCATAGCCACCTAGGGCACCACAGAACAGTTTCTCCTTCAGACAGGAGGAACCTACAGCTTCTGGAACTCTGGTTTGGACAAAATGCAACCCCTCTTCTCACCTCCTGAAGCAAAGGGTCAGTTGCCTAGAGTGGAAAGCTGGATTCTTTTGGGCCCCCAATACCTGCTGCTCCTCAGGTCCCCAGCCTACTGTCACTCCTAACTCTATACCTGTCTGCCTGGGCTTTTGAAGGCCAAAGACTGGCAGCTTCCTGGTCCTGTTCTGCTGAAGTCAGAGGGCCCAAGACAGGACTTGTTTTCATTCAAGAGCAATTCTTCAACACCTTAACACAAAGGCTGGGACAGCTCCCTCTCCACCCAAGCAGAGTTTGGTTTCTTCCTTCACCATTACTGTTCTGAAATTTGCTCTCATTACAAAGTGCACTGACATCCAGCTCTTGTTTAATTTATGTAAATGTCCTTTAAAGGGATTCAATGGTCTGAAGTGTCTTTTCTCCCACAGTTGTGGTGTGACCAATGATCCTAATAAATGGCCAAGGCATGACTGAGTGTCAGCCCAGGCCCACTCCTCCTTCCAAGGCCCTGTTCCTCCCTGGCCTTGAGGTATGCCTCAACCCCCAATGATAGTCACAAACATCCCCCCACCACCATAAGGCAATCCTGCACAAAGCTTCAGCCCTTGCTGGGATCTAGTCTGGGCCAGGAGCCTCAGGGGGGTCCTCTAATGTATGGATAGAATGCTCAGGGCCAACAGCTCCCCAACACACACACTTTCCCAGAGTGTAAAGAGGATCCCATGTGATAAGAGCAATCAGTATTTTCAGCATTTCACACGCATTAGTTCTTTCCATCCTCGAGAGACCTAAGGAAAGACACTGAGAAACCTGAAACAGAGAGGAAGCCCATCTATAAGTGACAGGATTCAAAGCTCCTCCCTCTGGCTTGAAGTCCACACTCACATCAACTTGAGGCTAGGGTACAGCTCAGTGGTAGAGCACTTGGCAAGCATGCATCAGGCCCTAGGTTCAATAAGGTGCAGGCATTGGGTTCTGAGACTTTTCCTTCTAAAAACTCAACTTACGGTTTCACCCAGGCCTTCCCTCTTCCACCTCACTCCCAGATGAACTCACAGAAGAAGAGAAGGGGCAACTAATCTCAGGCCACTCCCTTTGGGCATGAATTAGACAAAGAAAAAAATAGCTACAGACCATTTGGAAACTTGCTGTATATGATAAGAATTGGAGGCTGAGTAGAGTCACCTACAAGAAGGCTGGAGCCACCCTCAGGGATCTGGGGCGAGAGAAACTACTCTGCCCAAGCAGTTGGTCTTAAGGATCTGAAGGTGGGAACTCAGGATCTTCATGACTTAAGTTCAGAAATATCCGGAATATCTCTGCAGCCACTAATTTTGAACACCCAAAGAGACAATGCCCAGTCCCTCTGACTATTACAACCTATGGAGGCCCTGAGTGCCTTTCTGAAAAGGAGGATTTCCCAGGGTCACCTGACCAGCTTTAATCTATTAGAGGTGCAGCTCTATACATA